ATCTCTGAGCAACACCAAGGCTGCACAGCTGTTTCAGGGTTAACAATTTGTAATATTTTTTTCAATGTAAGTCATAGCCACTGCTCCCTGCCCCCTTGATTGTATATACTTTCATCCCAAAGGCAAAGCTGAAGTTGCCCCTGTGTGTATCCTTTGCAGCGATACCTTAGCTAGGGCTGAGCCTGCTAACTTGTCTATCAGAATTACTGTGGTTTTGGAGCTCTGACTGATTGATTTACTCTGTTTCTCAGTTTCCCACCTAGAAAATGGGAAAAAGAGTCTTGATTCCCTTTGAGATCTATGGATGAGATGAACGAAATAGCTTGCATTTAACTTCTTGTTACCAGAGGCAGATTGCTTCTGGTACCCAAACTAGGTCACTCACAGCTAGCTCATACATATCAACGCTGCCTTCCCAGGGGTTGCATAACTGTAACTCGGTCAATAATACCAGTCTCTGGTTATTATTTTAGAGTGATGGGTGGAAATTATCTTTAACTTCCAAGCTAATAGCAAGGACAGCAAGTCATGGCAGCGCAGTGCCAGGAATAGTTAGGAGAAAAATGTAGAATTCAGAAGACAAAAGCAAGTTGCAAATTGTCTTTCTGCAGCAGCTTCAAACTAAGAGATAGAAGTATGGGTTCTTTTGATGGTGCCTTGAAGAACGAAGGAGGGGACGAAGGAATCATCAAACTGTCTGGTTTTAAATGTTGTTTCAGACCTTCCAGTCTGAAATCTTTATCCTAGAGTGTGCATTGCAACCAATTAGTTCAATATTGCATGCCAGGGACCTGGATTTAGACAAGGGAGGAAGTATTATGTAGCTACTTCATTTAATTTCTTGTTCTTGCTTTCAGGCCAAGGAGGAGCTAGAGGTTGAATTCAAACTGGAGGCCGCGTAAGTAATATACAGATTATTTTAAAAACGCAAAAATCGTTAAATGCTAAGACATAGTATAAGAATTCACTCTTTGTGAAATTTCTGAAAGTGCTAGACTTTTCCTACATTATTACTGCAGTCTCAGACACCCAACTGATCCTTCCAGTCAGCTTGTTCTGAACAGCAGTTAGTTGCTTTCAAAGGCACACCTCCCAGCATTGTCTCTGCTACCCACAGTTTCAGATTTGTCTACCTGGGGACATTTCAGAAGACTTTCTGACTGTGTGTGCATGCATGTCTATCTATTGTTCCATGCCTGTTTCAGCTTATGCATTGGAGATTCTCCTAATGTTGAACCATCCTGGTTATGTTTCCAGTGTATCTCTGACTCCTTTGATTTTCCCTTGCAGCACTGTTTTGGTCCTAGTAATTCTGTTTTCTTTCTGTCCAATGCAACAACAAGGCTTAAGAAGCCGTAGTGCAGGGCTTTTCCTCCAGCATGGTCAGCCTTCCATCTGTAAGAATTGTTATTTTTGTCTCTGTGTGGCCACAAGGTAACTAAGCCACGGCAGAAAATAAAGGGACTAGCCTAAGGTCAGCCCTCATACCAGTGAGAAGCCAAGGCCAGAACTCAAGTCACTCCACATCATCTCCTGATTTCACCTGAATGATCTGGAAAGCTTGTTTTTTCCCATGTAATTGGTACCCACTGCCCTGTGCCCATTTGATTGTATTTGCGTACCAGCAAATATATAGAACTGGGCTTCTTAACAGGGATACAGTGGCATGTTAACTTGTGACCACTGAAATCATGTACTTCACATGTTATAGAGAGGAGAAGAATTTGGCTGCTTAACTGCAGGTTCCATTTTAAATGATCATGAGATTGCACAGCAAAAACATAGCCTTGATACACATCACTCAGGTTTGGTACAGAGGCAAGTCACCTCAGAGCAGGCCTCAGTCCAAGCAAGCATGGAAAATCTCTTGTTACATACTTGCTGGGGTCCTTCTGGCCATCATTCTTTGAAATGGGGAGAAAGGGCAACACCCTGGTCAAGGATGAGTGGGTACTTGTTTGATCGTAAAAATCCATGGTTTTAATTTTTTTTTTTTTTCCCCAGTTCTGGTCCTCATGAAGCCATTGCTACCAATGGAGTCCTGGTGGTATGTGTCTTTTTCTCAATAAATTTTCTATTAGTGTTTCCTTAATATAAAGGGGAAAGGAGGGTAGGGGTTAGAGAAGCCAGTAGGCCAGTTTTTCTCTTTCTTTCCTATTTAGTTGTTTTAAGAATGGGAATTTTTATTGCCCTGTTCATTGGTGACATCCCTTTATTTCCCATTTGTCCAATATTTTGACACACCACACACAGAGACACAGACACACAGCTTTCCTCTGGTATCAGTACTCCTTCAAAAAATGTACTGTGCTCTATCAAAGCACAATGGTAAAAAGACTGTGAAGCCACTTGCTAATAACCTATACAGCCCTTTCCTCCCCTGGGAGATGAGCCATGCCTGGTGGGTAAGCTCAGCGCTAAGCATTGACGTATTGTAGTTACATCATGTGAAATAAGGTTGACTGCCATTAAAAAAAAAACAAGCCAAAATATTAATAGCAATGCTTCTTCAGAAAATCCTTTCTACTAGTGACTCTTGATCTCTCAGCAATGTATCTTTCATTTATATTTTTCTCAGTTTAATCCTTTGTATCCATTCTACTATCCTGAAAATGCTCCTGATAGTCTCCTTTGTATCTTCTTCTTACTGTGCCCAATTGTTTGTCATTGTCACTGGAGGATGCTCTACAACTCCCTCCAAAGCTTTTCCTTTTTCTTAGTCAGTGGCTATTGGGCAAAAGCCCAGAAATGCCAGGGAATTAGGCACTTCAAGTCACTAGACATGTCTAAAAGCTGATTAATTCACAGTTCCCTCTAACAAGGCTGGGATGTGACCTTTCTCACAGATTCCTGTTCTCTGCCTTTTACAGTGTCGTGAACTTTGCTGCTTGGAAGTTGAAGTGGCAGAGAAGACACAGCAAAAATCAAGTAAGTTTATTACTTTGTTATCTATTTACCAATAATTGCATGCTTACTGATGCGAGGAAGACACTTTCATATAATGTATTAGTGGAATAAATAGTGTTTACAGTATCTAGTGCAGTTAACACCAGGTAAACACATTAGGTTGTCATATACTTCAATTAACTGCATCTCATACTCCCTTAGGTATATGCAAACAAGGTCTATTAGACCTGCATTAAAGTTGAAAACCTGGTTCTATATAACAGCGAGAACATTCAGAGTCCCCTTCCTATGAAAACCAGCATTTGCTTTGCTCCTTTCCCTTCTCTGCCAGTGCTCCCTTCAGAGCGCTTTCCACTAGACAAAGCTGTGGTCCAAACTCTACAGCTCTGTTACCTGCACCCCACTTTTAACCAAGCCATCGCAATTTTCCAATTAAATCATACTGACATTTCTCATGACCTTTGTTTTGTTTTCTTAGAGAAAGAGCTCTCTCTCACTGTGAAGGGCTCTTTTGAGGGGACGCAGGATATTACGCTGGGCCCCGATGGACTAGCCAGCCCATCGGGTCCTACCAAGTTCCACTATATCAAGTACGCCGAGCCAACGCTGGACATCATGTTGCCAAAGAAGAGGCGCTATCATGCTGTATGTTGGAAGTGGCCTTAATGATGAACTGACCATGAGTGTCTCTCTAGAAAGTGGGATGAGGGGGAGAGGGTAAAGCCATTACTGTTTTTGTCCTAAAACATGCTGTTTTCCCAGTGGACCTGTAAATACAGTACAGTGACGGGCGCCCCGGCCGTGATGCTGAATTCGCTGCCCATGGGAAGGAAAACAACCATTGCAGAGGCAAGCATCACTTCCAGCTGTTACGAATAAAGGGTCACTCAGGTAGAAACCATTTCACATAATATTGTCCCAGATGGCTGCCAAGAGGGTCAGAAATGTTCCGATTTTTTTCTCAGGCCTTGAACAATCTGGAGCTTTGTTTCTCCAGCTGTTTTCTCACGTTGTCCTGAGAAGCAGGTTGTCCTTCCATTAGTCTCCATTATGTGCCGGTAGTGGATACAGAGACCAACAAGGATGTCAGAAGAAAATGTGATGATTCCTTCACTACATTTCTCCCTCTTTACCCAAAGACTGACCCCTCCTTTGATTAGCGTCCAAATGGAAAGATTCTCCTTTGATACAAGCCAGGAAAAAGTCAACAAACCTGCCCTTAGCATACCATGTGCTTCAAAGGACAATTATATTAAAATATACTGAAAATAAAAGACATAGCATATGGATTTTAAAGAATGCAATGAGAATATTGCTTGAGATAGATGTATGTGCTGTTTAATTTTGAATGAAATTAACAGAAGAAAAAGATTCTCACTATAAAAAACCACAGTGTTTCTGATAAGAAACGTCTACAGATGTCCAGATTTTTATGGATAAACTTGTCCAAATATGAGTTGTTATATTGTGAGGAAGCAGAACATCAGATTTCAGGGCCGTTAAAACAGCCTCTCAGAACAGAGCACGTTTTGTCAAATAAGATGAAGGCTGCAATAATGATTTTAAGACATGGTGAAGTCTTGGCAGAAGCAAATGCAGACTTGCAGTCTCTTCACTGTGAGACTGTGGCCAAGATGTCAAAAATCTGCTGTGTATTAGACCATAATGAATAAGAAATGTCCAAAAAATGGTATTTCAGGATGCTGCAGAAAGCTTGTGAATAACATGGGAAATCGGATCAACTGCATGAGTCTCAGGAACCTCCTATACTGTGTTTGTTAATGGTTCCTGCAGCCTGAAAGCATTTGGGATTCTGGGTAGGGATGATCCACTAAGGATAAGTAAACGCTTTTGGAAATATATGCTAAGGTCTCAGACATTTTACTTTGTGATTGCCAGACCTTGCTGGAGTCTAAATCAATCTCTGACCCCAAGACAGAAAAGGAAAAAGAAATTTTAAAATGAAAATGTAAAAATTACAGTATACATTCTTGTTTTCCAGGAGAAAAGATTTGACTTGAATGTGAGAGCACAAAGCTGGTAAGAGACTTTCTATTCCTAAAGACTCAGGTTATTGTTTTTGAAATTGTTTTAGCCACATGGGTATGACACAAGCAGGCATTGTCGGTCTGAAAACTAGAATGTACTTTCAATAAAACATAAAATACACACACGTTATGCTATACACAATTAGCCTTAGGAAGATTTTACTTTAATCAACACATGTTGATTAACATGTATTTATTTTACCATTATCCCTTCCCTTCTGACCACAGAATACTATTTTTGATCAATGTCAGTCTTTGAAGTTCACAAAAAGAATAAAGCTGACTAAAAAACCAGAATAGAAGGAGTAAACATTAAACTTGATCAGAAATTAGGAATTTTTTTTTTTCTTAACTGTAACAATAAACTGTATTTGGTCAAGTCCAGTTATACTGTATATTGAGTAGAAACTAAGACAGACAATGTGTCTAGTGATTTGACATCTATAGACATGCTCATTAATACTCACCAGTAAACATGAAGATGTTTCCTGTTATCCATAGCTATATATAACACACAGAACTGGACAAATTGAGCTTTTTGTATCTATGCCTAAGTAGGAAATAAAAGGGAAAGATAACAATTTTTAATTCAAACAGAGTTTTCTATTATTCATTTCAGAAAGGCAAGTGATCAACAACAGGAAAACCAGCATTATTCCAGGACAGGAAAAATGCTTCCTGCTTATTTAGTTTACTTTCAGAGAACTTTAAAAACAGTTTATTTGTTTTTACCTTGATTTATAGTGGAAACTGGCTTTTGCAGCTCCACCTAACTCAATTCCTCTTCCATGTCTTTGTTTGCAAATACAGTTGTAACCATTTGGCTGATTTTATCCAAATCCTGATGGTGGAGAAATCTCATAAGTAAATTTTCTTACTAGTTTAATTGAAATTATGGACTCAGTAGAAGAGAGAAGTTCTGTCACTGAAAGAAAAAGCAAAATGCTGCCATTTTACAATGTCTGACCAGGGCTAGCTGGCCAGCCAGGGAGTCCACAGGTAGCTCTGGCCTGAAGACATCATGAGAAATCTCTTGCCCATTGATGTCTAGTAGGTGCAGGCAGAACAGAAGAGCCCAAATGCCCAGGGAAATAAGCCACAACAGTGGAGTTTTAAGGAATGACTTACTAAATTTCAAAATTTATGCAAATGAAATCTGCCTCTGAGGAATATCATGCTTCACAATTTTTGAGTCAAGGTTGATGTGAAACGCAACTGTCAGTGTTGACCCGTGAGACAGCTTGTGCAAGTGCAGGCAGATCAGAGCAGTGTGGGTGAAATCCTGCCCCAGTAAACTCAGTGACCCATCTCCATCCATCCAGGGGCTGGATGCCACCGAGGTCATCCCTCCAGCCAGCCGGGTGGCAGGGCCACGTGTGCCTGGCGTGTGGGTGGCTGGGTTTGCTCCCCAGCGCTGCTCACCACTAGAGGGGAGTGCGTCCCCACCTGGGTCCCTCAACACGACAGTTTTCCTTCGCATTGCAAATGCCATACTTTGGAAATTGTGTTTTATTTTACATTTAGAATGAGAAAATAACTGGTGAAATGGGAATCAGTACACTCACGTTTTACCATTTGCACAAATTTTCTAAACTTGCAATGCTTTTAGTTTTAGAATATTCATTTAGACATTTTGTTTCATTTGTAAATACCATACATTGTTTCTTCATTGATTAGTAATAACTAGGTATAATGCCACTGGTTAAGCTTACTAATTGAAATACATTTCCTTACTTTTAAAAATAGTTAGAATATTCTGTCTTGCTCCTGTCACATTGCATCACCCTGTTTGAAGTGAAGGGTGCTGAAGGTTATCTTTGATCAAAGTCCTAAGATTGATACAGGTTTGTTAATATGTAAAATATGTGCCTGATTTTATCTTAGTAATTGTTCGTGCCATCAAGACCTGGACATGCGCTTTGGGTTTAACTTATGTTCAGAGGAGACGGCTTTCCTGCGGAAAAGAAAGAGATATGTAGCAAGTGCCCTGAAAAATGTTTTTCACCTTCAACAGGATCTGCAGGATTGTGAAGTACGTGTGTGTTGGGGGGGGAGATCTTGAATTTCGAGTACTTTCATGTACTCTTCTGCAGGGACAGTGGTTCAGGCTGGCTCACTTAGCAAAACTTTAGGCCTCAGGCTTAGCCTGAACCACTGTCCCTGCACTCTTCTAGATGAGCAGTCAGCAAAATGGGCCACATAGAATCATAGAACAGTTTTGGTTGGAAGAGACCTTCAAGATCATCGAGGCCAACCTTTGTTCTAGCTCTATCAACACCACTAAACCATGTCCCTAAGTACATCTACCCGTCTCTTGAACACCTCCAGGGATGGCGACTCCAGCACCTCCCTGGGCAGGCTGTTCCAATGCCTGACAACCCTTTCAGTCAAGAAATTCTTCCTAATACCCAGCTTGAACCTCCCCTTGTGCAGCTTAAGGCCATTTACCCTTGTTCTATCACTTGTTACTAGGGAGAACAGACCGACCCCCGTCTTGCCACCACTTCCTTTCAGGTCGTTGTAGAGAGTGATAAGTTCTTCCCTCAGCCTTCTCTTCTCCAAGCTAAACAGCCCCAGATCCCTTAGCTGTTCCTCATATGAGACATGCTCCAAACCAGCTCATCCATGTGTCTTAAGTATGTTTGTTTCTGCTACCAAGGTTTGTTACTGCAAGAAACGCTAGTTGCAGTAATTGTGTTCTTCATGACTGTCAATTTGGAACTTGTCAGATTTGAGGTGTGTACATCCCTGCCATCCTATGCTATAACTGACTTGGTACAGGAATACTGTATGCATATTAAATATGTTACATAGCAAAGATTTCTTCCCTTGTTCAAATGTCATCATTTTGTGAAAGTTCAGGATAAATATCTCTGAGTTCTTGTTAATGTATCTTCCCTTTCTTGCAGTTTTGAAATTCTTAAAATAAATATAATTTATTTTCAAGTAACTTCATGGTACTGAAGAATAACAGCATTGATGAGGGTAGCTTAACAACACTGGATGTGAACTGAGCATATTGCTTCATGGGCTTGTGGATTTTCATACAGTAGGAGTGGATATGTAAAATAAGGAAAAAGTGGCAAAGAAGTAGGAAATATAGAGAAAATACATTGTTGCCTCCACAGAAGGGTTTTTTCTTGTTCATCTGTGCCCCTATTTGTCCTAGAGATCGGCAAGAACCCAGGTTTGGGTTAATCTCTGAACTCATGCTTATCCAAAGGGAAGAAACAGCAGAGTCATTGCTTGGTTTTGGAGCCTTTTCTTCCAAAAAGGGACCCGGGCTCTGAGATCAGGACCTGGGCTAGGTGTGGTGGCCAGATCTGTTGCAGTCCAAGATGCAATGTTGAATGTTGTCACTGTGCATTCCCATCCTTCTCTGCCCAACAGGTCCCTGTTGTGGCTATCATCACGACAGGCGGGGGACTGAAGTCAATGACAGGACTATATGGCAGCCTCCTGGGACTTAAGAAATTAAATCTACTGGACTGTGTAACATACATCAGTGGGCTGTCTGGCACCACATGGTAAGACATCTCATGCAGGAGGCTTGATCAGGCCTTTTGACAGTGATGCTGCTGCAGAGAGGAGCTTCTGAAAGTAAACAAGATGAAGAGATTTTCTTCAAACATCGTAGAAACAAGCTGTTTCTCAATAATAGGCCATTAAATATTAGTTTGATCTGAAGCACCAATATTTTATTAGCAATTCTTTACTGTGCTTTTCAACTCCTCTTTTGCAGCAGTTAAATATGCGTATGACAATTACACTTGTCAAAATGGTTCCTAAGTAAGTAGTTACTGTGGATGTAACTGTGGATGCCCATAGAATCATGCGTTTTCCACTCTCCACTGATGTCCCAGCTGTTCCCAGCAACTTCTGAGACTGGCTCTGCCTTCTGACTGGTCATGCAGAGGAAACTGCAGGAGAGTACACACTTACCCCTGCAACCTGTCAGTTTGGGAAAGGACTGAGTTCCCCTGGGCAGCATTATTCCCTGCTCACAGGACCTACAAATACCCAACGTCTGATGGTACTACATAGGGAAGACTGGTAAAATAGAGGATGGCATTAAAGTAAAGCATAGTGGTACTATAAGAGAAAAACTAAGTGACACAAAGCCAAGAGACAGCAGCTGATATGAACTGATTTATGGTTCTAGAAAGCAAGCAAAGAAGATTTATTATTATTTTCTGCCTAATCTGAGCTTCAGAAATGTATGTACGTTCACATCTGGCAATTTTATCCCTTAAGCTGCTGCCAGTTCTGTTTAAAAAAGAAGTCAAGAACACACACACAAAAAATCTTATCCTTCAGGGCGATCTTTAAACAGCCATAGAAACTCTGATGGATGGATAAGCAAAACCAGAATATGTACAAGCAGAAGTGAATCCCTAAATGTAAACCTCTGTCCCCAAAGTCACAAAATTTCAAGTCTTTTTTTGCTCCTTTTGACTTTGCTGTCTCTATTATCTTTCTCCAGGACCATGGCAAACTTATACAGAGATGCCTACTGGTCACAGAAGGACCTAGACTCACATATTGGTGAAGCCCAGAAACAAGCAACCAAATGCAAGATGGGCTGTTTCTCTATGGATCGCATGAAGTACTACAACAAGCAGCTTTGTCAGCGGAAAGAGGAGGGATACAGGACATCATTTATAGATCTTTGGGGGCTCATGATTGAGTACTTACTAAATGATGGGGTATGATGTATATTCCATTTCTTAGAGAACCATTTATTTTTCTCTTAGTGACTGGAAAGGAAACTAGCCCATCATTTCAGAGAGCGTAACTCAAAACAGAGTGGAGAGCTCCATGTTAACAACCACTCAGATTTTTTTTATTTCCTTCAATAGTCTGCCTATGGATAAATGCATCCTTATATGTTAATAAATTAGTTTGTGGATGCAGTAATTTGAACTCTGGCTGGTATTTAAATAGAAGTGGAAGCAATCTTGAGCAGTCTGCCTAAGATGCAGATTACTCATGCAAAAAGAGCTCAAGATGCAAAGTAGCGTAATCTCAACAGTGTGAAAACTATCCAAAGCAAGCATGAAACAGCTAGAGTGCTTGGTGATTTGCATCTACTGGCAGGTAACCTGATCTGTAGGTACACTGGAGACAAGTGCATATTTTACTTTTGCTGAGAAGGACTTCTAAGACCGTAGCTGGTTTAAGTGATACTAATTTTTACAAGCAATAACAAATTTGCTTTTCTATTATTTGAAGTAGTTTCTACCCCTATAGTACAGCAGTCCACTCCCTCTTCTCTCCAGCTGGACCACAGTTCAAGGACATGTGCTTTGCCACTTGGAAAGTGGGAAGGGATGAGTGGTTGAGGATTGAACAGAAGTGTCCTCCAGTGGCGGCAGAAATGCTGCAGTCATTCAGCCATTCATTTGGTTTTAATTATTTAGTTTTATATAAGTACATATACATTATTATATATATGTAAACAGAAACAAACACATACAGAATGGAATACTGCATATTAAACAAAGGTATAAACTGAATAGCTGAGTCTTTTAATCTCAGCTAGACGAAGTCCCCCTCACAATCTAGCCAAGCACATTTCCTTTTGAGTAGTGCTGACTATTGCTATGTAACCATTAACCTCTCCCTAACCCACCAGAACTAGCTGCTCTTAACTTTGTCAGCAGGTCATGAGATTTTAAGTTTTTTACAAGAGACTGTGCTTTTCCAGAAAAGAAGCTGGGTGGGATGCAAATAATTTCTGCCAAATTCCAGTCCCCTTACAATACTGGACTGTGATATCTGTTGTGTACTAAGAAAGGAAACTCAATGCTGACATGCTCAAAGGCTTCCTTCGGCCCCAGAAGAGCAAAGCTCATCCTAAGGGGCAGCTTGCCCCTTCTCTAACTTGCCAAGGCAGTACTTTCTGGCATGTACAGACATGTATGCAGAAGTAGTTTTCCCTCTCCTCCTCTTTTTGTGAACTTGTGCGCAAGGTCAGACTGAACCCTGGGAGACTGGTCTGTCACCAGTGGGTGGGTGCCTGCAGTTCTCTGTGCAATGGAGATGCCATGGCCTGTCCTGTGTGCTGGGGGCAGAGCTGCCCAGCTCCTCCAGCACTGGGGCCATCGAATTCATGATGTGTGGTTTCCATCTCTTCTCACATAACTGTTTTTCTTCAAAACCAGAAAGACCCCCACAAACTTTCAGACCAGCAAGAAGCACTGTGTGATGGCCAGAACCCACTGCCCATCTATGTGTCTGTCAGTGTCCGGGACAGCTACAGCACCAATGATTTCAAAGGTAAGGATGATGTCTCAGATTCTTCGGGGCTAATACTGGCAACTGAATTCCTGTGATTTTCTCTTCTTTGCTTGGTAGCACTTGGGGAAAACAGTCTTGGTGCACTAGTTGCTTTTTGGAGAAATAACTACCACCTCCATGACTTACAATTTTAATACAAGAGATTGTGTTAATTTTTTTGAGATCAGCATTTCAGTCTAGACATACACAGCCGAAATCCTGCCAGAAAAGCCATTTTTAAAATATTATCTCATCCTTAGAATAAGAAGTATTGGAATTGTCCGAGAATTAAATACTGTTTTTTGTCAATGCCTGGTTATAGTTTCATTATGAAGAAATACCACGTAGTTACAATATAGTTTGGTAACGCTGAATCCTTTGCTTTGCTTATTGTTTTGGTTATTCTTTTTCCTGGAGGAGCAGAAGAGGCAGAGAAGAAATTCAGATCAGCTTTTTTATGGTTGAGGTGAAAAAATGAACCACTTCTGAATGAAAAGGAAATTATGGTCCATGACCTTTCTGTCTCAGTTCTAGCTCATGCTGCAGTTATATCAGACAACTGCACTGCACTTGGAGAGGATATTCGAGAAAGTCAAGGACTAATTCCGTCTTCCTTAGTACCACATATAAAGAGTGTAATTGGCCTGTTACAAAACACTCATTTCTGAAGAGCTGAGTACCTGTCTTTGTACATAACAAAAGTATTCAAGTGAAGTTGAATTAACTGTATTGATACTTTCACCTAGATGTGGCATATGCAAGGGCATGTGTAGGACCCTGGACTGGTGCATGCATATGGGGTGTGTAAGAGCTGGAGCCTTGTTGTACTCCTGGCGTGCACTTGTGCCTCTGGCAGCACCACCATGAGCAGCGTAACTGCTCCTGCCTCCCTATCATCACAATGTCTGAGCTCAGCTGCCTGGCCCTGAAGGCCGCAACGCTTTGCAAAGGCAACACAGTAAACAGCAGCCAGGCCAATGTATGCCCTAGCCACCCCTCTCTCTGCACCTCGCTGAGAGCCCTCTAAGTGTCCTGTTGTGGCTGTCTTGCAGAGTGGGTGGAGTTCACCCCCTACGAGGTGGGACTTCTGAAGTACGGCGCGTTTATTCGCACAGAGCATTTTGGAAGCGAGTTCTTCATGGGACGCTTGTTAAAAAAGCTCCCTGAATCCCGGATCTGTTACCTTCAAGGTGATGTATTGCATGGTCCTGGCATGGAGGGACTTTGGAGGGGTGCAGTGCTGTTAACCAGACAGTGGATATTTCTGGATGTTTCTGACATACTGAATGCTGCTATGGTATCACCTGTCGGGAAGTAAGAGTGTATGGTAGTTTGTCCAAAAGAATACAGTAAAAAATCCCACACCTTTTTACAGTTTTTTGTTGCTGTCTTGATATGCACATTATGTCTTGTAGATGGAACAGATAAAACTCCTTAATTCTTTCATTGTAAGGAACAGTTCCCACTTCTTTTGTTATTCTTCTTATTCCTCTCTGCATGCATTCCAACTTCTGAAAATTTTGAGATGACAGGAAACCTGCAATTGTGCTTCCACTGCTATCTACTTCCATTCCATCTACTAAAGATGTAGGCTGCCCAAGATGAAAAATAAGAGCAGAAACAAAGGGTCTCTGAATCTCTCTGGTCAGACTCTGACTGCTACTGATGGGTTTTGCGTGAAAGTAATAAAATCTGTTTACCAAGGAGGCACAATCACTGGCAGGAGAACACAAAGCAGCGCGAGTTTAGTTTCAGTCATTTCTTTTTACACTCATCCTGCTTAGAAGCTCCTTGGTTTCAGTAAACATGCTGTGATACTAATTAGTCCGCAATCCCAAGGAGTATCTTTAAAATACTATTTCTCAGGCTAGGCCTTTTTATGTAGTCCACTATTGAGAAAATAATTTTCTACATACTGCATATGCTGTACTGGCTTCTGTGCCCCACTGAAAATTAAGAAGATCAATTGTGGCAGACTAGTTAGAACACATATTTGAATTTAGATGAAATGGCTGCATTATGTTTTTGCATAAAGCCAGTAGTGCCCTTGTTGGGAGACAGAGAGGGGCAATCCTGGATGGAGAAAAGAGTGCAGAGTGGAGCAGGAGCCCACTGTATCTGTGCTGCCGTGTGAGATCTTCTCTCACAAACCAAATGGTGAAAGAGCCAGTTCATCCTGCTGTGAAACAATTCACGGTGTGTGAGCATGTGCAGAAAAAGAGAAGCTGAAGTAAGGAAGACAGGGATAGGAAGAATGATTTTGTGATGTCTGCGTTGTCTGAGCTCTTATTTCACTTCTCAAGTGAGTGGTTTTTTCTCCTTTACTTCTCTTGCATTCTTCTCTTTCTTCACCGTGCTGCAGAGCCATGCAGTAGGTTAGGCACAGAACTGACAGCAGCATTACCTGAACCAATGCCATAGAAAATTAAGAGGAATTTAATAGCCCAAAAGTTTAGAAATGTTTGAATTAAGTCCATCCAAAAATTAATCCAGGAGGTCAAAATAGAAAAAGGAAAAAGGCAGTTTTTTGTTATAATGTGTCCTTTTGTTCACTAATTCCTTTTACAGGTATGTGGAGCAGTATATTTTCTGTAAACCTGTTACAAATATGGGGATTATCACACAGTTCAGAGGACTTCTGGAAGAGATGGACACAGGACAGAATAGAAGAAGTTGGTGAGAAATTATTAAGCCTTTAATTTATGGTCACTTAGTCTTCTGGATGCCTTTTGGCATCAGCCTGTCAACTACATCGAAACCAGCTTCATAGGATCCTCCTCTAAGTGCTAGTGACTTCCCCTCCCACCATAAAGACTAAGAGGAAGAGGGTAATCAGGGAAATGCTGCTGTAATTACTAAACTTACTAAAACCCTACTGATTAAAAGGCTCTGTCCTTAAGAGGAAGTTTTAGAGGGGTCACACATTTCTCAGGAAGTGTTTTGGCATTGCCCAGTCTCACTCAGCCATACAAAACCAAGAACCAAGAACAGAGAATAAAGTTATTTTTACTGCCTGTGCAGAGAATAAATCTGAATATTAATTAGTTAATAAATATTTCCTGAATTTTTATTTTATTTTATTACTCAGTACAGCAATTACTGCACTGGATTCATCCTGGCACAAAGATAAAGGAGGCCCAGAGGGTCTTTTCTGAAGCAATACAGAAACTATGGTTTTATTGCAAAATCATTTAATATGATATTAACTATAATTACAGGCATCCCACAAATAAAGAAATACATCTGTGCAATCATGGAAACCACCAAGTCCCTCCTGCTGCACAGGCAGCCACTTGGTCCAGCAAGGCAGGTTGTGATTTCAAAAAAACACACCTTGTGCCCTTTCTACTTTTCACCCACGTATGCTGTCACCTTGAAAACTACCTGTAGTCTCTAAATATGAGTGTATCCCCCAGGTTTTCCTGGAATGCTCTCATTCTACTGATTAAGCATACGCTCATATGGCCATGGGTGATTATGAAGTGGAAGCTGTCCCTGTTGCAATGTACCCCGTGGTGCCCTGTTGTTGTCCATCTGGCTGAGTGGAAGCATATTCTTCAGCCCCATTTTCTCCATGCTTGCCTCTGTTTCATGATGTCTTCCTGTGAGGATATGTTATTTTCTTTCTGACAGGACATTCTCTGAATTGCTTAGTTCCCCTAAGGTGTCCCTTTTCCAGGACCAAAGGCTGCCTCTGATGAACTGTCTCCAGGCCAAAGCTTAAGACCATCAGCAGAGCTTTGTCCAGCAGCCAGTCCTCTCCTTCAGGATAGTTTTCATGCATTCAGTGAATCATCTCAGAACAACCCCTGAGATGTCCTACATGCCAGGACAACCAGAAATTAGCACGATTAACAAACAGTTCACTAATTTTTCTCCCCTCTCTAGATGAAGACCCAGTGTTGCCTACAAGACCTCACGAGCTGAGGACTCGCATGTACACTCCTCCTGGCCCCCTGTCCAGTGCCCTTCGGGGAGCACTGACTGACCGCTTCTCTGTCGCCCACCACCACAATTTCCTGAAGGGCTACCAACTGCATAACAACTACATGGAGAATGAGCACTTCTGTCAATGGAAAGGTAATGGGGACTAATATTTAACAGGCATCATTCCCATGCAGCTTTGGTGTGAGGAATTAAGGAAGGAGCCATGTCAGGATTGGTGGGGGGGGGAAAAAAATCTCCTGAAAGAACATTTCTTTTCTGAATGGAGAGGAGAGACTAAGTCTTCAGTGTTGCTAGGTATTTAAGACTGGTTTTAAATATAAGCATGTGTTTATGTGCTTTAGCTGAGATCTCTGTGGTCCAGACTGAGAGGGTAGAGTTGAAGATGACAGAACAGAATTTAAAGTAACAAAGAGCACAGTGAACATGGGAGAAAGCTTAATTTGGCAAGACTGTGCCTCTAACTTCAGATGCAAATGGAATATCCTCGAAAATATGGCCTACGAGAGAAAGCTTGAAAGGAATGGGGCTTTATAGTCCAAAGAAGAGGGGACGGGGG